GCCGCCTGTGTCGTGCCGCTGGCCTGCCCTTGCAGTGCGGCTCACCGAAACGGGGCACCGGGGGAAGGACGGCCCCGCCGCCAGCTGGGAAAGGCATCGTGGCGCAGGGACGCTGGAGGGGGAAAGCGGTTAGCGCTGCTGTCGGTCCTCGTACGCTGGCTAACAGAAGGGCAAAAAGTCCTTATTTCCAGGGTCCGTCTGAAGGTCCGCTGAGTGAGCAAGTGCACAGGCTTCGTTCCTTCCCCCACTGCTCTGGGTAGTTCGTTACTCAAAGGACCCAACGTCTGAAGAAGTGGCTGTGTGTTGATGTTGATATAGATCCTGCTCATCAGCTCTGGGTCCGCGTTTCCAAGCGCAGAGCTACAGAGCCGTCTGTGAATACATTACTGATACCGCAGCTAGGGAACGGGACCTTCTGATCATTCGCGTGATACGTGTTGGAAGTAGTCTTTAAGTTATTAATAGTTATTTCATGGTGGTTTATTGCTGCTGTATTACACCCTTCCTCTTCTAATGCAGTTATCCTGCACCAGGGATTAGATAAGCAGGTGAATGGGCCGGCCATGCTAATCTTACCTCCTTGAGCCTTCATTGTGAATGGATGCATGCGATATGCATCTTGTATCCCCTTTAGCCTTGTTAACAAGCCTTCTAACAAAGGAGTTGTTAAACAATTTGCCCCGCAGGACAGAGTAAAACAGCAGGGGATGGGCAAGGAGATGTTTGTCTAACTGTGCTTGCAAATCATGACCTCTTCTATCTGGTCAGGGGTGAACATAATCAGTGAGCTGGAAATCCTAGCGGGGGATAACCTTCATATGGGACTCAGCAATAGCTTTGCTCCAAGTTTGATAGCGTAACATTTTATCTCCCCACGGGTTTGTAATTGGAAGCATAGTTTGTCTTTGCTTCTGAGAACTTGGTCGTAATGCTGTTGTTTTAATACATCAGTGGAAAAAAACATATTAATTGCCTTTCTTTTCAAATCAAATTTAGCTGTTTAATTCAATTATGTTATTCAGAGTTGTCAAGCTGCCAGTGAAATACCTCCTTGCAGGCTACAAAGCTTTTTTTGAGAGGTAGTGCTTGAACAGAGCCGAAACCTCAGAATGTTCCACAAACTTTTAAGAAGGCGAAACAAAACATCCTTGCTGTGTTTTGTAGATGTCGTGGCAGGAGTAGAAAGACCACCTTTCTGCTCATCCCTCGGAAAGCATTTATTTTTTCAGCTGTTGTTTATATTCATTTGAATCCTCCTTAGGATGTAATCATTTTAAACAGATCACTTTGAAGGATGAGTGCGGTTGGGGGGCGGGGAGGAAGAACCCTGTCATTTTAAAATGCAAACCGAATTACACTTGAGCAGGAGAGGAAGGAGAACTCCTAAACAAGCAGTTGCTAAAACAATTCGGCAGATAGCCTGCTGTGAAGCTGGGCTGGCTGCGAAATCCCGCTCTCGGCAATACCGCAAGGTTTGGACATGGCCATACTGATAACGTGGTGCACTGACAGTCATTTTATAGCTGGCTCTATAACGTGAGCTCTACGGTAGTGTTTTTCTTCTGAAGTGAGTGCTGTCCTTTGAGTAACCTCGGTTCGCTGAGATTTACGAACCTTGCTTTAAACGTTCCCGCTCTCTTTATCTGGGGAGGAGCACCCTGACTGAGAGGTTGCGTTTCACGGTTGGAGGTGAGGTGTCTCCTTCCTCTGTTCTCTACCAGCCGTAGTTCCAGCCTGCCCTGTATCCCCGGGAGGTGGGCCTGCGGGTCTCGCTGGAGCGTGTGCCGTCTGAAATGGACAGGTCAGAGGTGGCCCAGGCAGGGTCAGCCTCGGTGGAGAAGCGACATGCTCTCTCTCGTGGCCATGCCTTGCCTTCCTTTGGAACTGGGCCACACTCCTGTGCTTGTGGACCTGCGTGGTACCTGGAATCCTAGCGTTACCCAGCGCCGCTTTTTGCCACCGAGAAGCAGCACGTAGCCTTAGCGTTTGGAAGTCCTCAGAAAAGCTAACAGGTCTTCATGCATTCAGATTTTGGGTTGTTTTCCTTGTCTTCCAAGAGAAGAAAGTAAGTCAGAGAAGTTAATCTTTGCTCTTACGGGGGCGGGTTTTTGAGCGAGGGATGTGAAGCCGTTACTGGGTTACCTGCGTGCCCGTGGGCGCTGGGCGTCGGGCGAGGGGGCCGGGTGCGCCCTGCCCGAGGGCCGGGCAGAGCTGAGCCTCTCGCTCTGCCGAAGTGACATTTTGGATCCGCTCCCTGTGGTGTGCCTGGGGTCCGGCTGGCTAATGAAACGTTGGCAAAGGCGTTTCTCCTAGGGACTCTTTTTATTCCTGGGTTACTGGGCCAGAGTCCGTTCTCGAAAAGTGACAGTGTGACCAGCGCAAGTTCTCGTGACGCAGTGCCGTAGGAATTGGAAATCCCCGCTTAGGCGTCAGCGAGTGGCACGTGGTTGTAAACCAGATACCTACCCCTTCCTGAAGGGAAACTGTAAAACAGTTTGTCTGCTGCAAAGATCTTCTTGGAAGGACTTGGGCTTCTCCATGGTACTCAGTGATTTTGAACTTAGGAATTACTTGAGTGTAGATGATGTGGGGTGCAAGCCGCCAGCCTGAGCACCCCCATCCATCTGCAGCAGTGAGCACTGTTGCCTTTTTGCTAGAGCGGTTTCTTACCCGCATCGCAGTATTCCTCTCTCCCTCCTTCCTCGCACCCCGCCTTTATACACGCAATAACAAAAACATACCTGGTGCTTGACTTCATTTCCACCAGTACGTGGAGAGGAGAAACAGTTTTGTATCACTTATCATTTGTTTCCGAAGGGAACTAATTCAGGGGATCTAGTAGGGTATCTGTCTTTCTAATTTAAATATACTGGATTGAGCTGTTAAAACGGGGTATGGCTTTACTCGCCTTCCCTGACAGAGACTGTAGTATGGTGATGCTAAGCTCCGAAGCTGCGCTGCTAACCTTCAGTTGTTCACTAGAACAAGATTTCGGAAACAGCTGACAAGCTTTGCGGCAGTAGCCTGTTCTCAAAGGGGAGGTTGGCAGCTTTGCTGGCCCCGTCAAGTATTAAATGAATCTTTCATTACAGTGCAGCTATGCAGTGTAACAGAAGGGTGTTGGCACCTCAGCAGTGCACCAAAAATAGCGCCTATGTTTTCAAACCAGAAGTTTTTGGAGTAAAGTTAAGAAGTTAAATTTTTTGAGCACTAGGCCCACTGGAAGCATAAAGTAATCCCATCTCTTTTTGCTGGGTGTGGGACTGTGTAGCTGTACTGAAAATAGGGGTAGATAGACTGTGTGATACTGAATGTCATCATTTCTCCGAGTTTGTAGCTTTGGATGCACGTGGCCGCTTTTTCTGGAGCAGGTTTGGGTTTACTGAATCACAGAGCCTGGCACCAAGCAGTGCCTCACACTGGAAGGAGGAGAAACTCCAGTTGAGTGGCTAGCAGAATACATGGGTACCCGGTCTTAAATCTTTCTTCCACCTGTGATCTAGCAGCAACTTATTTTCTCTGATACGGTGGTGATGAGACTGGAGGCGTAATGTGGGACCCACCAGAAGTTTTCAGATTGCCCTCCCCTTTAGACCCACCAGCAAGGTCAAGGAGATTAAAATTTTCTACGGCTCAGATCTAGCACTAACAAAACTGCATCTGTGTTTAGGTGACTAGGTGAAAGGATTGCCTAGAACGGGGAAGGCACAGCTGGTGTGTGATGTTGTACTGTAAAAGCCAGCTTGTTTCTCGCCCCAGTGGGCAGGATGTCTGTCATGGTAGAATACATCCTCTCTGCTTTTGGTTATCCATATTTCACTGAAATTCCTGGTCTGAATTTCCTCAGAACTTCTGCTAGAATTTGTGTAAGATATCTATCCTAATAAGCTTTTTACTGCATAATGCTGCAGATGTTGGGGAGAGCCGCCTTTGCCAGTTGTGACTCAAAATGATCCCACTGATACTGAGCTTCGAAGGCTTCATGAATCAACAAAAGCATCTCCCTGTAGGGTTTTAAATTAACAGAACAATCATGATGTGTTTTGCAGAGCCTAATCTGGCGTAATTGGATTTCAGGTATTTGATTGGGCCGACGCCCTTCCACTCCGATGCGATGCGGCTAACCCAGAGTGCTCGGAGGAATCCAGCAGATGCTGGCTGCTGTGTGCCTCCCCCGTCAAACCCGGGATGCTACTCGCACAGCCGCCTTTCCCCAGCCATTTCTTTAGTATCTGACAAGCGTTGTCGTGTCTTCTGTGTTACTAGATTGGCGGTAGTCATGGCTTCGGGAACAGCTTGTGTCATGTCTTTTGTTGATATCTGCTCAATGAGTCTTTCCTAGATACACCTGCGTGTAACCTGTGATGTGAAACAAGCAGACCTGTAAAAGATGACAGGCGTTAATATTGAAGTGCATTGTGGTTGCCAAACATGGCAGTGTGTGTCTAGGTTTCTTGAGCAGTTTTTTTTTTAGAACTCCTTTAAGCACTTCTGAATTGCTTTTAGCAAGTTGTAATGGTGCTTCAATCTTTTATTGTTCTGGGCAACACAAGGAATACTAAACTGCTGTAAGATCATTTACGCTGATAATTAGTTGTTGCATGTTCAAATTTATTAAAGCTCTGTTAATCTTTTCCTCCAGATCAATTGCTTGATGAGCTGCAGCTGAAATATTTAACGCGTCACACTTATGCCACTCGAGATGGAGCCCAAAGCCAACAACCTCGTTTTTGGGTGTCAGCGGAGCTCAACATCTGACGATGACTCTGGCTGTGCCCTGGAGGAATATGCCTGGGTCCCCCCAGGCCTCAGACCGGAGCAGGTACCAACTGTGCTGCTGCGTTCTTAAAATAAGTCTTGTCAGGACTGCCTAAGGGAGTGATACACTGCATTTGCAAGTCTAATTAAAAATGTATAAAGCAGAGATTCATCTAGAACTCTTCAGTTCTTGTTTTGTTTCCTATTCCAGTGAGGCTGTGTTGAGGGAGCTTAAAATCCTCAGCACCAAGGAGTTTTATCCCCCCAAAAAAGTTCCCAGTCAAGATTTTTCAATAAATGCATGCCGCAGAGGTATGTATTGTCAGGTTGAAAAGCAGCATAGAAATTTGCCTTCTCCTTGAAATAAGTTATTAGGTTAAATTCAAGCTCATGACATACCTCATAGCATTGTGCTGCTTGGCCAGTACTTCACTGCTCTTGTACAACTCTTTAAATAATTAGGAATTTGACATCTAGAACATGTACGTTACTACAGCACACACAGAAAAGTAAGTGTTCTGTCACTGTGACAGGTAGTAATGTATTTTACACTCGTTTAAATAGTTGTATGCCTGCCATTTGTTCATGCCAGGATTGCTCTTGTACGGTCTCAGGAGCTGACACTGGTGGGTTGGTAGGGCAGATAGAGCAGAATCATTTAGGTCGGAGAAGACCCTTAGGATCATCAACTCCAACTGTAAACCTAACAATGTTAAGTGCACTACTAAACCATGTCCCTACGCGCCACGTCTAGAAGTCAGGAACAGCCCATTCTTCTTTATCTTTTATAACATTGCACTAATGGAAATAAAAGTAAAATTTTTGATGAACAAAGTTGCTAGTCAGCCTCTCGTGGTATTCATTTACTTGATGATATCGCAGCTGTCGTGAAGCTGTGTACTCGGCAGTGTCCAGAACTCAGACCTCAGTGGTAAATGGACAGAGTGGCTTTGTAGCATCTGCTAATGGAGGCAGAGCAACCCTCCTTCAGCTGGCAAGCTAGCACGGTCCACAGTTACAGAGGTGCAGAAGATGTCTCGGTTTTGCTGTGCAGAGATTTTTCTTATTTGCAAATAAAGTAACAAGTCAGC